CGAGCACGCGGGCTGCGCACACGCAGCTGGACAAGGCCAAGGTCTAGGCTTGAGAAACTCAGCTGTCGGAGGGAAAAGTGGTTTGAGAACCAGAATGACCAGAATCTTTATGTTACAATGAAGTGTGTGTGTGTGTGTGTGTGTGTGTTTTAATTATTAAAAGTACTCACAGTTCAGATGGCACTTATGAACAAGTCACCAGAAACCCAAAGTGGGAAGCGACTGAAGCTGCAGCTGACAGTCAGTTTACGCGTGTGCTGAGCTCGCCAGATCTGCCGTCACTCCGACGCCGCACCGCTTCACCCTGTCCTGGGGGCCAACATCCTTCCTAGCTGCCACCCCATTTCTCTTCATCTCACACCCAAGCTGCCGCATCTCCACTCCCGATGCAGACTCTGCCTCCCCCTTGTCAGCATCACCAGTGACCGGCAAACCACACCTCAGAGATGTCAGGTTGTGGAAGGGAACACGGGGAGCTGTGTCAGACTTAAGACTAGACAGACACAGCCATCAAGTGGGCTGGAAGCTTGTACTATAGGTGTTATCGGGACAACTGGCAAACCACATTGGGCTTCTGGGTGAAGGAAGGGGTAGTGGGAGTTCTCTGCCATTCTTGCAACAACTACTTATCCTATATAATAGAGGTATTACGCAAATTAACCCACACACCCTCACAAGATGGCTGCCTATGACCAGGCCAGCAGGGGGGTGAGGGACAACAAATGACCAAACAAGCAGGCTGCGTGGGGCGACCAGGCCAATGGGTGTCCATGAGGGGCAATCAGTTAGAGAGGGTGCAGGCTGGGCTGAGGGGGGGCCCCGCCCCCCCCGTGCCTCTAGTCTATAATACAGTGTAATATGCTAAGCAGACCAGACTTCCAGATGACCCTCCAGGGCTGTAAGGGCCAAGCCCCTTACACGAATGCCGTACATCAGGCCTCTAGTCGGAAAATAAGGCCAGAGTGCGAGCTGTCAGACGACGTGGGCTTCATGAGAAGCAGCCGAAGGGGAACCTCTTTCCAGGACATGAGCTACACCGTAGGCAACTTTAGTGAAGTCTGACTTGGACGGCAGGAAAGGCACTTTGTGTACAATGTTTCTCTTGCGGAGGTTATAGTACCCAGCTGCCGAAATGCAGGACAAGGGGCTTATGTTCTGGCAGAGAGAATGGAAGTGGCCTACAGTCACACAGCAGGAAGATAAACTCTCCACAGCCTGAGGATGGAATCAGACGAGAAAGGAGTTCCGCTTTGGTTGGAAACGGGTCACTTTAACCTAGGACTGAAATGGCTGTAACAGCCAGGGACGGTCTGAACTCTGTGATGGGCTTCTATAAAGGGGGGAGGGGAGCCTTGTGTAACAGTATCTTGTACTCAGATGGACATTAAGTCTGAGATGAACTGTTACACAGTAAATAATTCCATATTATTTTTTAAATGTTTCATGCTTTAAAAACCCCTTTCCTCACCCGATTATGCCTTTGAGCCATACTACAGAATTGTCAAGGGCTGTTTTCTGTTTTTTTTTTCTTGACTTGAGTTCTGTTGTTGTTTTAAAATATATTTTTATTGATTTCAGAGACCAAGGGAGAGGTAGAGATAGAAATATCAATGATCGGCTGCCTCCTGCATGCCCCCCACTGGGGATCAAGCCTGCACCACAGGCATGTGCCCTTGACCGGAATCGAACCCGGGACCCTTTAGTCCACAGGCCGATACTCTATCCACTGAACCAAACCGGCCAGGGCACTGACTGGAGTTTTAAGTCCATGTGTTTTACAGTCTATCAGGTGGAGCAAAATTAGTCATATTGTAGTGTTCCACAGATCTTTCTATCCCTGTGTAAGTTTCCCCTAAACAGAAATTTATAAGAGATCTCAATATATAACTAAGCAAAAGCATTAATCAAGATGGGGAAAATACACACTTTATAAATGAAGATGTACATTTAAGTTACACGAAGTCCATTATACAGTTAAGTACACCAAGGAATAATCAGACTACACAACACTCACAGGGCAAAGACAAAAGGGGGTTGTGCACTCCTGTTATTTGCATTTCCCCTGGGGTCAGGTAGCAGTCCAGGCCCAGAGGGCCCCGAAGACGGAACGTGCCAAGGCTAACTCACATTCCAAAAGCTGTCATGCAGAAAGGCGCTCCACTTCATAAAACCCACTCGACAGGTAACCTAGCCATTCATGTTCAGGCGTGTGAAACTGGGATGACACACAGGGCACGTTTCTTATTTTTTATTTCAACATTTAAAATATTCACAGATGTAGTATATTCATTGGCATCTCCATGGAAGATGTACCAAACAAAGCATACAGGTATTCCACAGTTACAGAAGTACATGTGTGTGACTATGTAAAGATTTTACTCCTAGAATTTATCTGGAAAACCACCACTAAAAAACAAAGAAAAACACACACACAAGAAAAACTTTTGAGTGTTTCACTGGATTTCCATAAAAAGTGAAAGACTATCAAGAGAAATACCTAAATATTAGCCAGCACTTTTGTACTATTTCAGACTTTCATATACTCTTTCAACATACCCATGTCATCAGGAACACTTAATTCTCAATTATTTTTCTTTTCCCCTCAATAGCCAAGGCCAAGATGTATGTATTTATTTTCATCTTTTTTCCAAAAATATTACACAGAATAGGTTGATCATCACTGGATCTTGACTAGCTAATGAGGTAGGAACAGTCTTCAAAAGAAGTTCTTAAGCATTTATGAAGCAAAAGAGAATCATCAAATTATATGCAGTTTTTCTTTTATAGTGGTGGTTCTTTTAATAAAATGCCAAGAGCACTGGAAACTGGTCACATGCTACTTGTATGTAAAAGACAGAGTAAAACCCCATGAGAAAGCCCTCTGCTGAGCACATGCCAGGGCCGGTGGTGGTTAGGTCCATGCTGGCATCACACGGCAAGAAACGGCTGCCCCAAATGCCACGCTTTCCTTCTGAGTGATCTTACCAAAAAGATCAAGTTTAAACAAAAACAAAAGTACCCTTTCTTTCAGTAGGAGTTAATTTGGCTCTTATTTTAACCCAGCTCTCATCCCTCCCTACACACACACACCCCCAAAAAATAATTCCTATATAGTGCATATCCAGTAGCATTATTTAAATGAATTTAGCAGTCGACTTACCAAATTCTGCCAGAGAAGCCCTCCTTATATGAAGGTTTAACAACGTGCACTAGACAGCTGGAAAATGCCTGGGTGATAACAGATTTCAGCACCATCTCTCTATTAGCAGGTTGTTTCGAAATGCACCCACCCCTTAAATTCCTGTAAACCTAGGAAAGTCAACAATTATCCCCTCTCCTTCTACACCAAAATCAAAGTTCTGTGTCCTAACTACCCTTTCTGTATATATAAGGAATATTTTTCAAATCTACCAATCAAGTTAACAGGACATGTTTCCAAAACAGGGGAAAGTTATCAATCAAGTATGCATTGTCTAAAAGACATTATTTGAACACTTTGGTACCTATCATTTGATGAAGGCTAAAATACCAGAAAGAGAGATTCTTTATTTCCCCAATTACATACTGATTAGGGTTACTGCTAAAAAACACTAAAAAAAAATCTAAAAATGTAAAAAAATACTTAAAATAGCTGCCAGATAAATTGATAACTGTATGTGGTTTGGAAGATGGTTTTGAAATCAAGTCCTTGACAATTCTATAAAATGTTCTAGACATAGTTAGCAATCGAGCTTGGTATGACAGTGCAACTCTGATATGGCAATAACCAATTACTATTTTACTTTAGCTATCAAAAATAATTTGTCAACAAGCATTTTTTACATCTTTAAACCTTTCTTTTGACTATTCTATCTAGAATCGTGTCCTATCTACATGATCAAAATATCATTAGTTTGCAGAGAATTCTCCCGCCGTCACGGCCTTCTTTACCTTCGGTTACAGCTCCCTCACCTCCTTTTCCTAAGGCACACCAGGCCCTGCTCATTGCTGCCAAGGCCCTGAAACCTATATCTCAATCTATGTCTCTGTCACCGGTTCAGTGAAAACCCTACAGAGCACCTGCTAGGTTAACTAGAAGCACAAAGCCTATTTCTGAAGCAAAGGCCAAAAACCACGAGTCCATGCTATTTCCCTAAAAACCAACCACACTGCCCCCCCCCCACCCCGCACCCGAGCAATAAAGCTCACGATAGCCCTGGCTGCATATACTCCATATTCAATGTTTCAAAATAAAATGTTAGGCCAGTAAACTTTCACAACTTTTATTAAATCCTAGTCTAATTTAACAATATCTGATTCTATAGACATCATCCTACGGTGAACATGTTTAATAAGAGAAAGCAAATCAGACACCTAAGTCATTATTTTCTGCAGACTAAGCAATAAGATAACTATTACACAGAACACTACAGGTCATGACATACGCTTACTTGCTCAGAGTTTTCACACAAGCCATATTGTTTATCAAACTATGTCTCCTAATATTTAATACAGTAGAATTAGTGATTGTAGTTCTCATATAATATTTTAGTTACAAGTACCTTATTGAGATAACTAACATTTAGACAGTTTCACTGACTTTCCAGATTAGCAGAATATATTCAAGAAAAAGCAAAAAGTGAAATGAACACTGAACATGACAAGTTATAGAAGGAAAATGAAGTAAAGATAAAAAGGTAAGTGAAGTATCAGTGGGGTTGAAAATCAGTCTAGTCATTTGTTTAGAAGAATCAACTATGGATTTCACAGATCAAGTTTATAAATTCAATACAATATAAATCCTTTTGAATGTAAAAGCCGCATTGAAATTAAAAGGTCTATAAACTGTTAACTTTTGGCCTTAAATAGTACCAATTCTTCTGATCAAAGAAGGCCACAACAGTTAAGATTGTATTACTTGATTTTATTTTACACTAGGTGGTGGGCACAAAGCAACCCCCTTAATAAAGTTGACAATTAG